AAGTGGCGTGTAGGCGAATGTTTGGCAGCAGAAGCCTGCACCCCCAATCACAGTTTCGGCATGCTTCAGATCATTCCCCCACGCATCTCTGCAGGAAGCAGCTCGGGACAGAAGCAGACATCTCACGTCGCAGACGGCAAAAGCACCAAAACCTCCCTGCCTCCGTGCGATTCTGGAAATCCAAGCGCCCGCAGCGGTTGCTGATGCTATTTTCATCTTGCTAGTATCTCTGGCAGCTATTACGCTAACGACATGGAGAAAGATCTCGTGTTGAATAGCAACAGCAACCCATCTGCTCGCCACGCCGCTCACATCTGCAGGCCTGGGAGCTCTCACTTGGTTCGCTGCATGGGGGAGGCCGGACATGTCCTAGACATGCCGCCTGCGGGGGTAAGAAAATCAAGGAAGTCCCGTAGCAGCTTGCAGTGGAGCCTTACATCAAAATGCGAAATCAGCTCAGACCACGACAGGCATTGGGCTGCTCTGAAGCATAAGCTTCCTTTTTTGGCCTGCCGGAGTGAAAGCTTCCCATGTCCCAAGCACTCCACAAACAAGCAAGAAGGAGTTCAGACCTTGCAGACGAATCTAAGCAAACATCCGCAGAGACGTGATGAAGAAGGTGCGATGAGCAGGCTGTCTTCTTTCAGAGACGCCCCTGGCCTGTATCAGCGGCAGTCTGGCTGCACCGGCGCCAGGCTGCCAAAGCCTCAGCGCTATCCCGGAGCATGAACAAGTCCCTATCCTCATCGCACTGAGCACTGCGCAGGGCCCACAGTTTGAGGAGGTGGAAGCATGCCAAGCTTTAGGATGGCTAGTCTTTGCGGTCATCTGTTTGCGAGCTAGGTTCGTAAGCTCCAGGGTGCCAGAGGCCGGCGCATCAAAAGGAATTAAAGGCTCTGAGTTGGACCTGATAGGCGAGCACACTCCTATCGCCAGCAGGCTGTACTGCAACAGCTCAGCAACTCGTCATTCCTTCTCTAGCCAAATCCCAAAATGGCCATTCCGCACAAGCTGTTTCTGTACACACCGGCATCTGCCACACTCCATGAACTGGCTTGGAGTGCTACGGTTCATGATATAAATTCTGCATTACCTTAAGGGCCCTAAACTATGGGAGTTATAGCATATTCCATCATATTATTATGGGTAATGCAGGATTTATATCATCAACCGTACCAACTCGTGGTTTTTTGGGGGATCTCTGATCGCCTGGCACTCGAACTCGGCTGAGGGCTTCGCAGACTTCGCTGCCTGGCACGGCCTCTGCGGCGGGCGAATGAGGGCGAATGCCAGGAGCAAGTGCGAAGCTTCAGGTGGCTCGCATCGCGCAAGAGTCACAAAAAGAAATGCCACAAGAAGCGGTCGTGTTCGGTAATTGTCAGTATACCTTGCGGGCCCAAGTCGAATATTGTGCAATACGAATATACAGAGGGTCGATGCTAGAGCGTTGCAGCCTTGCCGATGCACTGCAATCCTCGAAGTCCTGAGCCTTCAATTCAATCTCCCGCACTGAACACACTCCAGTAGTAAGCTCGGGGCGGCTTGACAGGCGTGGCAGATGGAAGTGCCTGCCCAAGAACCCCTCGCCCCGTAGGCCGCCACGGTCTGACCTGAAGAATACAGCTGAGCGCTTCGCACGATGGGGCTGCGTCTTGAAATGCAGCCTCTGCAAAGCCGAGCGGCTCGGCTTCACTCGTTTGGCGGACGCTGTCAGTCACAAGCCACACTCCCGGCCTGCAGGGCTCCACGCCAAGCTGAAGCATGCCGTCGCGGAATGCCGGCCGGGCTGCTGACACTATCAATGGCTAGCTGCACTTAACTATGTCACAAACTGCCTGAGCTTCTTGGTTGTAAGTTGTAATTATGCGATGGTGTCTGGAACCTATGCCGTCTCAAGTACTATACAGTATGATGTTTTTGTAAAGCATAGGTTGTTGAGATAGTATCAGCATCGCATCGGCGGTGGCAGCTCTGCGCCGCGGCGCGGGTCCTGCAGCCCAGGAGCTACTCGGGATTGTCACGATTCGTGTCCGAAGCCGAGCTCTCAATGGTTCAAGCCCTGCCAATGACAGTCCTGTGTTCCCCTCAAGCTGACCCATGCGCGACTCAGCGCAGGGCACGCTGGCCAACTGCTGAAGTGGCGTGTAGGCGAATGTTTGGCAGCAGAAGCCTGCACCCCCAATCACAGTTTCGGCATGCTTCAGATCATTCCCCCACGCAGCTCCGCAGGAAGCAGCTCCGGACAGAAGCAGACATCTCACGTCGCAGACGGCAAAAGCACCATGCCTCCGTGCGATTCTGGAAATCCAAGCGCCCGCAGCGGTTGCTGATGCTATTTTCATCTTGCTAGTATCTCTGGCAGCTATTACGCTAACGACATGGAGAAAGATCTATCTCGTGTTGAATAGCAACAGCAACCCATCTGCTCGCCACGCCGCTCACATCTGCAGGCCTGGGAGCTCTCACTTGGTTCGCTGCATGCGGGAGGCCGGACATGTCCTAGACATGCCGCCTGCGGGGGTAAGAAAATCAAGGAAGTCCCGTAGCAGCTTGCAGTGGAGCCTTACATCAAAATGCGAAATCAGCTCAGACCACGACAGGCATTGGGCTGCTCTGAAGCATAAGCTTCCTTTTTTGGCCTGCCGGAGTGAAAGCTTCCCATGTCCCAAGCACTCCACAAACAAGCAAGAAGGAGTTCAGACCTTGCAGACGAATCTAAGCAAACATCCGCAGAGACGTGATGAAGAAGGTGCGATGAGCAGGCTGTCTTCTTTCAAGGAGGGGCAGAGACCCCAGAGACGCCCCTGGCCTCGTCTACGAAGGGTTCGTATCAGCGGCAGTCTGGCTGCATCGGCGCCAGGCTGCCAAAGCCTCAGTGCTATCCGGGAGCATGAAGAAGTCCCTATCCTCATCGCCCTGAGCACTGCGCAGGGTGCACAGTTTGAGGAGGTGGAAGCATGCCAAGTTCTAGGACTTTAGGATGGCTCGTCTTTGCGGTCATCTGTTTGCGAGCTTGGTAGGCTCCAGGGTGCCAGAGACCGGCGCATCAAAGGGAATTAAAGGCTCTGAGTTGGACCTGATAGGGTTTAGGGTTTAGGGTGGAGCACACTCCTATCGCCAGCAGGCTGTACTGTAACAGCTCCGCAACTCGTCATTCCTTCTCTAGCCAAATCCCAAAATGGCCATTCCGCACAAGCTGTTTCTGTACACACCGGCATCTGCCACACTCCATGAACTGGCTTGGAGTGCTACGGTTCATGATATAAATTCTGCATTACCTTAAGGGCCCTAAACTATGGGAGTTATAGCATATTCCATCATATTATTATGGGTAATGCAGGATTTATATCATCAACCGTATCAACTCGTGGCTTTTTGGGGGGATCTCTGATCGCCTGGCACTCGAACTCGGCTGAGGGCTTCGCAGACTTCGCTGCCTGGCACGGCCTCTGCGACGGGCGAATGAGCTGAGCCTCCAAAACCCCTTAATTAAGGAATATACCTTAAAATCATATTAGGGATCCTATTATAAAATATGGTATATTCCTTAATTAAGGGGTTTTGGAGGCTCTGAATGAGGCCGAATGCCAGGAGCAAGTGCGAAGCTTCAGGTGGCTCGCATCGCGCAAGAGTCACAAAAAGAAACGCCACAAGAAGCGGTCGTGTTCGGTAATTGTCAGTATACCTTGCGGGCCCAAGTCGAATATTATGCAATACGAATATACAGAGGGTCGATGCTAGAGCGTTGCAGCCTTGCCGATGCACTGCAATCCTCGAAGTCCTGACTCCCACGCTGAACACGCTCCAGTAGTAAGCTCGGGGCGGCTTGACAGGCGTGGCAGATGGAAGGCCGTGCCTGCCCAAGAACCCCTCGCCCCGTGGGCTGGCAACACAACTATCCGACAGCCTGCAACTCAGAAGCTGCAACCCTAAACCTTCTATCTATCTATTTTATATATAGAGAGAGAGAGAGAGAGAGAGAGAGAGAGAGAGAGAGAGAGTTATTGGTGCAGCTGGGCCTCGGCCGCCGCAGCACGTCCACCCGCCCAAAGCAGGTTCGGTGAAACAGGCAGATCGATCGACTAGGCTCGACTAGGCAAAAGACTTTGTGCTTCTGACTGCAAGCCGGAGCACCCTGCCACGCTGCGAGGTCTTTACAGCCTACTTTCTCCTCCTGCGGAAAAGGCTGACTGGCGCTATGGGGTGCAGGCTCATCGGACTGAGTAGATCTCGGCGTGGAGAGGAACAATGAATTAGTCTACGGTGAAACAGGAGGACCCAGGCCTCATAAAGTCGAAGCTTTCGCAAGAAAAGTTGCTAATTACCCGAAGCTAAGGCCACGGTATGGTGAACCAGAGGGCATCTTCTTAATGCGTCTGAAAGATGCTGTGCACTGCTGGCAGGCGACGGCCAAAATGGCCAGGCGATGGCCTCAGAGCCGAAGCAGCCGCTTCTTTTGATTCGAGGCAACACCAGTAGATAGGCAGGGAGAGAGAGGTCCTCGACCCTCAGCCTGAAGCTCTCAATCCCTTTGATCTCTCCCGTTTGGGGAGGTTTGCCAGGCCTAGAGGCATGCTCACATCCCATCCCCGAACCGCATCTCCACTCCCCCGAAAGGCCAGGTGACGTGCTTTCCTTGTGGGCCGTATGCGCTAGCAGTGAGCCAATCGGTTGCCAGGGAGCTGCCGCAATTCGATACTTCACTTCTTCTGGACCTGGCAGTCTATAGGAGTCTATACAGGTGTGTAGGACCGGAAGTGAAGGGGATGCATCGCTCACGCAGGACGAAGTTGAGGCTTGGGAGTTGGGGTGAAGCTTTAGATGTGCGGCTCTTCAATTAGGGTTGAGGGCTCGGGGATAAGGACTTTCGAGGCCGTCAGCCTACTCGGCCCGAATCCTGAACCCAATGCTTGACCTGCATTCACCTCAGAAGAGAATTGACACTGATGAAAATCGCCCGACTCCTGCCTACCCCCCGGACCGGGCCGTAGCGCCTCATGTCAGTTGTCAGTCACGCCCCAGTCGAAAGTGCCTTCTCCCCAGGCCTCTGCAGGAGGACTTCGGCGGGCGAGCTTTGAAGCTTTGAGGCGTGGGAAACTTCGGGAAATTGATGCAAACCTCACGACAGTTCACCTCCGCCAATTCCAGAAACCCAGCAGACCGTGGCTCCCATGTCAACACAGAGGACAGTAACAAAGCAGGCTTGACATTGAGTCCCTTGTGCCTGATACTCTTTTGTCGGTGGCGAATGCTTCCAATCCTTCTTGGAAATGGCCATGGAGAAGAAGCCACGCATGGATACAGCCGGGTACCTGGGCATGGGCCGCTTCTGTCGACTATGTACCATGCAGCCTGCCGCGAGAGCTTCCAGAGTGCAACAATCGTTCAACTCGGCTTTGCGTGGCCTTCGCTTCGTGGGCGAGGACCATTCGTGCTCTGCATCGGGTTGTGTACAAGTTGCATGCTCTCATGACGAAGTGGACTTGTCAGCGTTGCCTCTTCATGATTTCGTTATAGTTGCTAGGGATCTTCGGGGCTCTGCAAGTCAAGGCACAAGCGGCGACCGCTGGCCTGAAACTTCATCTGGTAGGCATCCTGCGGCGAGCCGTCACATGCCCAACTCAAACCACTACTTTCCAGTTGGGGTGGCTTCGACTGCACAGTGGGATCAATTCATCGGCACGCCATCTCACAGGCTGCTCTCTTCGCATTACGGCTTATCAACGCTGTCCTGAAAAGGCTGTCGTTGTGGAATCTTTCAAGGCTGCCAGAACGAGCACAAGCTCGGCGAACCACGCAAAACTCGAAGCTTTTCTAATGCTATTTGGGGGCTATCCGTCTATACTCTCTTGATATCTTGTTAATCCACCAGTCCCCCACCGCAGTGCCTCGGGATGCCAAATGCCCTGATGCGACAGGCGCATTGTGCCGCTGTCGAAGTCCAGGGCAAGTCCTGAGGTTAAGCGAATCTTTTTCACGGTGCAGCGTTTGGGGAGTGTGCTTCCCACAGAAATCCCGACCGGCCCACTTTCAGGTTCGCTGTTTGCAGCTTCGTGCAGACTGTAGACAAGACTGAATGAGGCTCAGTCCGAAGATGTCCGAAGCGTGAGGATGTAGCTGTATGATACCGCACGTCGCTCGGGCTCGGAGCGGAAAAACAGCTGTATACACAGATTCCTGGATCTCAACGCCCGCATGATGTGGCCGCGCCACACATCTGGTGCTCATCTACAATTCCTTCCCCCAGCATGCCAAAACTCAGCTAATGCAGGCCCTGCTAGTTCGCTACAGCCAGGCCAGTTTGGTGCACCACAGTTGCAACGGCTTTCCCCATACCTCCACCTGCAGCCATTCAACCAAAGCTTCGTTTCGGATCCCGCTGGATCTCCAGAACGAACCCCCCCAAGCCCTCTATCGTCCGAAAGGTCAAGCCCCCAAGAAAGCATTTGCTTGATCATTGCAGTCTGGGGCCGCGGCCGAGGACGTCGCCGGCTCTCCACGGTGCGAGGGCTGCCTGGCAGAGGCTGCTGCGGGCCAAGGAACTTTCCTCCGCCACCGTCCCAGCCTTCTGCTTCCGACCGGCTTGCCACTGCAGGCAGCGCTCGCCGTCGAAGGCCCAGCCATCTGCATCGTCTCCCACGCCAATGGTGTCGTATCCACCTTCCTGGAAGTGGGCACTCAACCATCCCACCTGTGGATTCGCGAAGCGCCCCCGAAGGAGCACCTCGTGGTAGCGCTTTCCCTTGTCCTTTGCCAGGTCGCGGGCTCCGCTGGTGAACCAGGTCCTTGCAGCTGTGGGGATGTCCCGGGGTCGCAGGGCGCTCAGCCCCCGGAGTCGCAGAACCTTGCCGCTGGGCCGGGCCCCGGCCGCGCGCAGCATGGAGGCCAGGTCCTGCGTGCCACAAACACAACATCTGCGTCGCATCGACCCGGGATACCTCTCATAGAGAAGTCTACGGCATCAGATGATTGTACATGACGATATTGTTTAGGAGTGGCCAAGGGCACCTTTAATTTGTCCCGTGCAGGACTCGAAGCTCGCCTCGTTGCCGCGGCGCTCCGCCAGGTCGAGGGGGTTCTCTGCATCGAAGGCGCCCAAGGCGTTGGCATCCGCTCGGGCTTTCAGCAGCAAGCCAACAGTTTGGACGCGACCTTCGGCCACCGCCGCGGTCAGGGGAGTGTCCCCCAGCTGCGTGCGCGCCTGCAGATCCGCGCCAGCCTGCGGCAGAGGCCCGACCCACAAATCAGCATGGAGACCTGAAGCTCTGGCCCCTCCGATCTGATTGTTGAGAAGCTTGATGTTAAGGGTTGCCCCACCTGGCTTCGGGTTTACCTGTGGCAGACGACTCTTCGGGTCTCAGAGATGCCACACTACCTGGAAGATCGTGGGAGTCCCGGAGACCCCGCATGAAAGGACGGAAGGGACCTCGACCCGGCAAATAGCTCTTCTATGCGGATCTGCTCAAGACTTGTTTCGCACAAATCTGGCTGGGCCTTCGCGACGGGAGCAGCAAAGCACGCTCATAGAAGGGCGTGCTAAAAAAAATGCTTCTTTTTGCTCGCCGCATACCCTAGAGAAGCCAAGACAACACGCACAAAATGCAGAAGTCCAACACCAGGCGACAACAAGTTCCCGAAACGAAGGACAGAAGCGAGTGTGGTTGTGAGCAAAAAAAACCGGACGGTAGGGGACACAAATCCTATCTTGGGATCCCTCAGCTTTGCCGGTAAATCCTTCCCAAAGCACAGACGCCCTCTCCACTGGGACAATATTGAGGCAGAGTTGCCTGATGCTGCCTAGTTGGGGGACGGCTCAGGGACTTTGGCCTTTTGCCCTCAAATGTCTTCGGTCCGAGGGCCCGGGTGGGCCTCCATCGAAGAGCCTTGCAAAGCAAACCTCGCTGCTTTGAGCTTGTGCGCTCAAAGAGCGAAGCTCTTAAGCTCCAGCCCTGATCTGATGATTTCGTGGACTGGGATGCTTCGTGTCGGGCTTTCGTTGCAAGCTCCTGATCTTTCGGATGCCCTCTGAAATCTGGCAATGGCCACTAGTGGGCCTGGACTGCGGCAATGCTTGGAGGGTGTGTGTGGAGAGCGGAGACGCCACGCCACCCTGGGAGACGATCACAACAACAAACAAACAAGTCGCAAACTGATTGACACTCAGCAAACCACCCTAGCTGTAGAAGGTTGTAGCAACGAGTTCTCCCGTTCAAACCCCCCAAAAGCCTCTGCTCCGAGCCTCCTCGCTTCCTTGAAACGCGAGCCCGGCCTCCAGCAGAAGCCGCAGGGCCTCGAGGCGCCCGAACTGCGCAGCAAAGTGGGCGGGCGTTCGGCCGTCCTTCCAAAACAGAGCCACCGCGTCACTGTTCCTCCGCTTCTTTCCAAAATATGCTCGGCCTTTTCTGGCCCTTTCGATTACGAATTTACGAATGAGTGCTCGGGTACCTCGCGCTTCGTGTACGGACTCAGCAAACGAGCATGCAATCCATGGTGGGGGAGTGGGAGACTCGGGAGGGGGCCCAAGGCCGGCTCAGCCACGCAGACCTTTCAAGACTGCGAAGGGGCCTCGACACGGCGCACGCAAGTTGTAGCAACGATGCTCTCTCCCTCCAAAAATCCCTTCAGACCCCCAAAGCCCAAAGGCCTCTGCTCTCAGCCTCCTCGCTTCTTGAAACGAAAGCTCTGGAAGTCTGCAGCCCGGCCTCCAGCAGAAGCCGCAGGGCCTCGAGGTGCCCGAACTGCGCAGCCCGATGGGCGGGCGTGATGCCGTCCTTCAAAACAAAACACCGCGCTGCTTTCCCTCCGCTTCTTTCCAAAATATGCTCGGCCTTCTTCGCTGCGGCGAGGTCCGCGCCAGCCTGTGCTGCGGGGGGCAGGGAGGACAATGAGGAGAGAACGGAGCGGACAAGCGGGTGGCAATGGTCACTCTGTGCTCCTCCAACTCTCACTTCTACTTACATTGGCACTCGTCTGCGGCTACTTCAGATTTAAAGCTTCCAAATCACTTGCTTTCAAGCTTCACCTGCGATCAGTCTTTCTACCATCGAAATCTCATCATCCGAAAGACCGCGAGATCCTGCATGCCATGGCCTCCTGCAGCAGCCGCAGCACGCCGGCGTGGCCTTTCTCGGCGGCGAGCAAGGCCGGGGTCCAGCCGTTCTCGTCTGCGGCCACCAGATCTGCCCCAGCCTGCGCAGCCACAGCTAAGACAGGCTAGTGGCTAGTGTTTTCAGTAGGGAGACGAGCTTCTTTCGGCCAGACAACATCAGAACCGCTAGCCGCACACAGACACTGCACGCCCAGGACAACTCCGCCACGATCTAGAAATCTAGAGCACAGACCGTCCTTTCTTCCAAACTTACAAGTGCGAGGCGAACTTGTCCAAAGAAAGGGGCCCCTTCGGCTTTCGAAAGGAGCTTTGCCACTGCAGATCCATGCGCCTCTTGGGGACCTCCAGGCTTGGGCAGGCAACCTTTGAAACCTGAAGGGCTTCTCACCTCGAAAACCGGCGGCCTCCCGCAGCAGCTGCAAGGCTTCCGCATGGCCGTTCATGGCAGCCAGCTGGGCCGGTGTCGTCCCATCATGGGACGCGCGGCCGAGGTCTGCCCGGGCCTCTGCAAGAAGCTTGGCAATAAACTGACGAGAAAGCGAGAACACGCGTTTTTTGCGATCCCATCCAAAGTCTTCGGCCAGAGTGCCTCCGTGGAAGGGGATCTGAAAGAAAACCTCCCGTCAAGAATCCTACCATCTGGGCCTGGTTTCTGTTTCCTTGGTTCGTTCCCGTTGCGTTTAACTGCAATGAAATGAAGCATGAATGTAAGCACAAATTAAACGCAACGAGGAAACGAAACAAGACACAGAAACACCGGATTTTACAAGAGGATTCTAGTAGTTCCAGGATCATTAGAGAAATCTCCTGTCATTTTGTAAGCAATTAGTTGTAAGACTTCCAAGTTTAGAAGGAATGAAGTGAAAGAAGCCACAAGCGAAAGAGAGAAAATAATGAAGCGCGTGGGCAAATGAACGCATGAAGACACCAGATGTTGGTTGAATCTTGTATTACCATTTTGACCTTCGCTGCTTTGGGGGCCACGATCGAGAAATCTCCGGCACATCCTTTCCTTCCCAATTTGCACGGCTTTGTCCAAGAACAAGGGCCGCTCAGCTTTTGGAAAAAGGCTCTGAACTTAGATGCATGCACCTCTTCTGGACCTCCAGGCTTGGGCAGGCAGCAGGCTGCCGGGAGTCGAAGCAGCTCCAATTTTTCCGTTGTTTCTAGCCCTCACCATAGGGATTCCTTCGAAGGGCTGCGAACTTCGAGAGGAGTGGGTCTTGAACGCCTGACTGAGAGTGACATGCCAATATAGGCTCGTTGACGGGCTCCAATCTCTGGCCCTTTCGATTACGAATTTACGAATGAGTGCTCGGGTACCTCGCGCTTCGTGTACGGACTCAGCAAACGAGCATGCAATCCATGGTGGGGGAGTGGGAGACTCGGGAGGGGGCCCAAGGCCGGCTCAGCCACGCAGACCTTTCAAGACTGCGAAGGGGCCTCGACACGGCGCACGCAAGTTGTAGCAACGATGCTCTCTCCCTCCAAAAATCCCTTCAGACCCCCAAAGCCCAAAGGCCTCTGCTCTCAGCCTCCTCGCTTCTTGAAACGAAAGCTCTGGAAGTCTGTTGCCCGGCCTCCAGCAGAAGCCGCAGGGCCTCGACGTGCCCGAACTGCGCAGCCCGATAGGCGGGCGTGATGCCGTCCTTCAAAACCGAGCCACCGCATCACTTTTCCTCCGCTTCTTTCCAATATATGCTCGGCTCAGGCCCGTCCTTCTTCGCTGCGGCGAGGTCCGCGCCAGCCTGCGGTCGGGGCAATGAGGAGAGACCGGAGCGGAGACGCGCACGGCAAGGGACACTGTGCGCCTCTAACTCGCACTTCTACTTACATTGGCACTCGTCTGCGGCTACTTCAGATTTAAAGCTTTCAACTCACTTGCTTTCAAGCTTCACCCGCGATCAGGCTTTCTACCATCGAAATCTCATCATCCGAAAGACTGCGAGATAATGCTTGCCATGGCCTCCTGCAGCAGCCGCAGCACGCCGGCGTGGCCTTTCTCAGCGGCGAGCAAGGCCGGGGTGACGCCGTTCTCGTCTGCGGCCGCCAGATCTGCCCCAGCCTGCGCAGCCACAGCTAAGACAGGCTAGTGTTTTGAGTAGGGAGACGAGCTTCTTTCGGCCAGACAACATCAGAACCGCTAGCCGCACACAGACACTGCACGCCCAGGAGAACTCCGCCACGATCTAGAAATCTAGAGCACAGACCGTCCTTTCTTCCAAACTTACAAGAACTTGTCCAAAGAAAGGAGCCCCTTCGGCTTTCGAAAGGAGCTTTGCCACTGCAGATCCATGCGCCTCTTGGGGACCTCCAGGCTTGGGCAGGCAACCTTTGAAACCTGAAGGGCTTCTCACCTCGAAAACCGGCGGCCTCCCGCAGCAGCTGCAAGGCTTCCGCATGGCCGTTCATGGCAGCCAGCTGGGCCGGTGTCGTTCCATCATGGGACGCGCGGCCGAGGTCTGCCCGGGCCTCTGCAAGAAGCTTGGCAATAAACTGACGAGAAAGCGAGAACTCAGCCCGAATCTCTGGCCCTTGCCAGTTTGGGGCTTAGGTTCAGGGCTCGGTAATTTCGGTAGGGAGAGGAGCGTCCACCGCGAAGAACACATCAGAATCGTTGCCCCCCGCATACACACAGAACCCCTCCCAAGAAAGCTGGCAATCGAGATGGCTTGAGGCCGGCAGGCACAATAAACGCTCCAATCCCAAAACCTAGAGCGCATACGAGGCGAACTTGTCCAAAGAAAGGGGCCCCTTCGGCTTTCGAAAGGAGCTTTTCCACTGCAGATCCATGCACCTCTTGGGGGACAGAGAGGCCGGGGTCCTCTGTTTGCGGGAACCCCGCAGTATGTCCACATCTCCCCGCAACGAAGGACAAACCCGACAGGGGCTTTCAAGACTGCGCTCAAATCTCTGGCCCTTTCGCTGATCAAGCTTAATGCTCTGACGAGCTGGCTCTACAAGTATGATGCGAACTTGAGGAGTTGTCTGATAGCTGTGCAGAACGGGAACTGGCGGCAAAGTCGCACGGCGCTTACATGGGACACTCCGACAATCTTGAGGCAGAGTTGCCTGGTTGGGCGATGGCTCCGGGACTTTGGCCTTTTGCCCTCAAATGTCTTCGGTCCGAGGGCCCGGGTGGGCCTCCATCGAAGAGCATTGCAAAGCAAACCTCGCTGCTTTGAGCTTGTGCGCTCAAAGAGCGCAGCTCTTAAGCTCCAGCCCTGATCTGATGATTTCGTGGACTGGGATGCTTCGTGTCGGGCTTTCGTTGCAAGCTCCTGATCTTTCAGTGCTGCGGGGGGCAGGGAGGACAATGAGGAGAGAAACGGAGCGGACAAGCGGGTGGCAATGGACACCCTGTGCTCCTCTAACTCTCACTTCTACTTACATTGGCACTCGTCTGCGGCTACTTCAGATTTAAAGCTTCCAAATCACTTGCTTTCAAGCTTCACCTGCGATCAGTCTTTCTACCATCGAAATCTCATCATCTGATATAGACCGCGAGATCCTGCATGCCATGGCCTCCTGCAGCAGCCGCAGCACGCCGGCGTGGCCCTTCTCGGCGGCGAGCAAGGCCGGGGTGACGCCGTTCTCGTCTGCGGCTGCCAGATCTGCCCCAGCCTGCGCAGCCACAGCTAAGACAGGCTAGTGGCTAGTGTTTTCAGTAGGGAGACGAGCTTCTTTCGGCCAGACAACATCAGAACCGCTAGCCGCACACAGACACTGCACGCCCAGGACAACTCCGCCACGATCTAGAAATCTAGAGCACAGACCGTCCTTTCTTCCAAACTTACAAGAACTTGTCCAAAGAAAGGAGCCCCTTCGGCGTTCGAAAGGAGCTTTGCCACTGCAGATCCATGCGCCTCTTGGGGACCTCCAGGCTTGGGCAGGCAACCTTTGAAACCTGAAGGGCTTCTCACCTCGAAAACCGGCGGCCTCCCGCAGCAGCTGCAAGGCTTCCGCATGGCCGTTCATGGCAGCCAGCTGGGCCGGTGTCGTCCCATCATGGGACGCGCGGCCGAGGTCTGCCCGGGCCTCTGCAAGAAGCTTGGCAATAAACTGACGAGAAAGCGAGAACTCAGCCCGAATCTCTGGCCCTTGCCAGTTTGGGGCTTAGGTTCAGGGCTCGGTAATTTCGGTTTGGAGAGGAGCGTCCACCGCGAAGAACACATCAGAATCGTTGCCCCCCGCATACACACAGAACCCCTCCCAAGAAAGCTGGCAATCGAGATGGCTTGAGGCCGGCAGGCACAATAAACGCTCCAATCCCAAAACCTAGAGCGCATACGAGGCGAACTTGTCCAAAGAAAGGGGCCCCTTCGGCTTTCGAAAGGAGCTTTTCCACTGCAGATCCATGCACCTCTTGGGGGACAGAGAGGCCGGGGTCCTCTGTTTGCGGGAACCCCGCAGTATGTCCACATCTCCCCGCAACGAAGGACAAACCCGACAGGGGCTTTCAAGACTGCGCTCAAATCTCTGGCCCTTTCGCTGATCAAGCTTAATGCTCTGACGAGCTGGCTCTACAAGTATGATGCGAACTTGAGGAGTTGTCTGATAGCTGTGCAGAACGGGAACTGGCGGCAAAGTCGCACGGCGCTTACATGGGACACTCCGACAATCTTGAGGCAGAGTTGCCTGGTTGGGCGATGGCTCCGGGACTTGGCCCTTTGCCCTCAAATGTCTTCGGTCCGAGGGCCCGGGTGGGCCTCCATCGAAGAGCATTGCAAAGCAAACCTCGCTGCTTTGAGCTTGTACGCTCAAAGAGCGCAGCTCTTAAGCTCCAGCCCTGATCTGATGATTTCGTGGACTGGGATGCTTCGTGTCGGGCTTTCGTTGCAAGCTCCTGATCTTTCGGATGCCCTCTGAAATCTGGCAATGGCCACTAGTGGGCCTGGACTGCGGCAATGCTTGGAGGGTGTGTGTGGAGAGAGGAGACGCCACGCCACCCTGGGAGACGACAAACAGACAAGTCGTAAATTCATCGGCGCTTAGCAAAACACCCTAGCTGTAGCAGGTTGTTGCAACCAGTCCGCCCCTTCAAATCCACTAAACGCCTCCGCTCTGAGGCTCCTCGCTTCCTTGAAACGCGAGCCCGGCCTCCTGCAGAAGCCGCAGGGCCTCGACGTGCCCGCCGTGCGCAGCCCGATGGGCGGGCGTGATGCCGTCCTTCAAAACAAAACACCGCGCTGCTTTCCCTCCGCTTCTTTCCAATACATGCTCCGCTCAGGCCCGTCCTCGTCTGCTGCAGCGAGGTCCGCGCCAGCCTGTGCTGCGGGGGGCAGGGAGGGCAATGAGGAGAGAGACGGAGCAGACAAGCAGGTGGCAATGGACACTGCGCTCCTCTAACTCTCACTTGTGCTTACAGTGGTATTCGCCTGCGGCTACTTCAGACTTAGAGCTTCCAAATCACTTGCTCTCAAGCTTCGCCTGCGATCAGTCTGTCTACCATCGAAGTCTCATCATCTGATATAGACCGCGAGATCCTGCATGCCATGGCCTCCTGCAGCAGCCGCAGCACGCCGACGTGGCCATTCTCGGCGGCGAGCAAGGCCGGGGTCCAGCCGTCCTCGTTTGCGGCCGCCAGATCTGCCCCAGCCTGCGCAGCCACAGCTAAGACAGGCTATGGTTTTCAGTAGGGAGACGAGCTTCTTTCGGCCAGACAACATCAGAACCGCTAGCCGCACACAGACACTGCACGCCCAGGACAACTCCGCCACGATCTAGAAATCTAGAGCACAGACCGTCCTTTCTTCCCAACTCACAAATGCGAGGCCAACTTGTCCAAAGAAAGGGGCCCCTCCGGCTTTCGAAAGGAGCTTTTCCACTGCAGATCCATGCATCTCTTTGGGGGACAGACAGGGCGGGATCCTCTGTTTGCGGTTACCCCGGAGTATGTCCACATATCCCCGCAACGACGAAGGACAAACCCAACAAGCTGCCTTTCTACGCGTGGCAGGCCTCACGTGGCCGGGGGTGCTCTGGACTCAGGTGTATAGGGCTTTGAAGACTGCGCTGCCCTTTCGCTGATCAAGTTTAATATGTTCCGACGAGCTGGCTCTAAAAGTATGATGCGAACTTGTTGAGTTGTCTCATAGCTGTGCAGAACGGGAACTGGCGGCAAAGTCACACGGCGCTTACATGGGAAGGACTCCGGTTCGAAGTCGCAATGGGAGCGAGGAGACGCCACACGATATTCCGGGAGACTCCGAGATAGCACAAAAACATACAGACCAGTCGAAAACTGTCATATGCAAGGGGCTTGCGTGCGGATCCCCAAGCTTTAAGATCAAAGGAGTGGCCGTTCGGCACACTTCTGGTTGGGCCCAGGCAGACGCACAGAAAGCAGTGTCGCGTCGCCGGCAGCTTTTCCGCTTTTGCACCCTGCACTTCTGCTGAAGACCGACCCGGTCTGTTTGCTTTTGACGTCGTATAGACTACGTCCACATACCTCGGAGAAAGAGCACGAAGCGCAGGAGTCCAAAACCAGGCGACAACACATCCCCGAAACGAAGGACAGGAGCGACATACCAAGAGGCTGATTGACAGAAATATAGGCTTCCCGAAAGGTCTTGCACGGATCCCCGTAGCCTTACGCAGGCGTCTGGGGCCTTGAAGACTGGGCTCCACAGATTTTCGGCCCCTTCGCTTCGCTTTCCGCCTCCGGGGCTGGTTTGGGGCTCCTCGGCCTCAAACCTCATGCGACGCGCGGGTCGGCCCCGAGCCCGAGCCTCCTCAAGCAAATTGGTCATAAACTGAGGAGCGAGCGAGAACACACATCCTTCGATCACACCTAAATCCTTTGGCCAGGGTGTATTCGTGGCCTCACTCAACCTACCCTCCTGCTGCGGACAGGCTACGGCTACGGTCTGTTTGCTAGAGGTGCAACAGTATGCCGGTTCCTCCCGAAAAAGTAGGGCCTCGGCTCCCTTTTAATCAAAAATTCATCGTGAAGGCAGGGCTTGGAATCCAAACATTCGCAGGTGCGCAGGTGCTAGCGGCCGACGTCTGGAGCAACTCGAGCGATTTAGATATGAACTATCGCAGATCTGCTTCCTCTTGTGCAAAATTGACTGGGAAGACCCTTCTTGGGGGAAGAAGCCCGCGACAATAAACCGACGAGACCCCAACTTTGCCGCCAAATCCTTCCCAAAGTACAGTCGCCGGAGTCGCCCACTCCGACGCAGAATCACAGCTGCTTAGATGGGGCGGGTGACTCTGCGACTTCGGTCCGAGCGCCGCGTAGGTTTCCGTGGAAGAGGAATTCAAGAAAACACCTTGCTGCTGTGGCGCGGAGCTCTTAAGCTTTCCAGGCCGATCTGATGATTTCGTGAACTGGGATGCTTCGTGGTCGGGCTTGCATTGCAAGCTCCTGATCTTTCAGATGCCCTCTGAAATCTGGCGATGGCCGTAGTGGCAACCACTAGTGAGCCTGGACTGCGGCAACGCTTGGAGGGTGTGTGTGGAGAGAGGAGACGCCACGCCATAATGGGAGACGATCACAACAACAAACAGACAAGTCGCAAACTGATCGACGCTTAGCTGTAGAAGGTTGTAGCAACGAGTTCTCCCGCTCAAACCCCCAAAGGCCTCTGCTCTCAGCCTCCTCCCTTCTTGAAACGCGAGCCCGGCCTCCAGCAGAAGCCGCAGGGCCTCGAGGTGCCCGTTCTGCGCAGCCTGATGTGCTGGCGTTCTGCCGTCCTTCAAAACAGAGCCACCGCATCACTTTTCCTCCGCTTCTTTCCAATATATGCTCGGCTCAGGCCCGTCCTTCTTCGCTGCGGCGAGGTCCGCGCCAGCCTGCGGTCGGGGCAATGAGGAGAGAACGGAGCGGACAAGCGGGTGGCAATGGTCACTC